CTAAACTCTGAATGTAGAATTCAACCTCTGAGGTATTTTTATTCTACACAGTAGCAGATGTCCAAGAGCTTGATATCTTATACTTCTTCATCACATAAGTATCACCCCATCTTCTACTACACAAAAGGAGCACTCAACTAAGGAGAAAGAGTCTGGAACAATTTGCCAAACATGGACTGAACCTTGTAAAAGAAGCCAAGCAAGTGTCGGGCGTCATACTTCAACCTGTTGCAGTCTTCAATATCATAACCAGGTGCCCCAGAATGGGAGACACATCTAGCATTTGCATCAAAATCATGGGAAAAATTTGTGGGAGGAGGATCCAAAGCACGAAGCTTAATCAATTGAGCTTCCAACACATGAGGAAGTAACTGGATGTAAGGCATTGGGATTGTATCAACACGATTCTCAAGTTTTTTCGTCTTTGCTATTAAGCTTTTCCCCATGGGTTCACTTGGAGACCATAAACTAGCTGCTGGCAAGAAAATCTGGGGACACAAAGTTCTGGATGAGACCCACGAAGTATCTCATGATTTGAAAAAGGTCCCATAGGCTAGGGATGAATGACAACTCCTATTGTAACAACATATACAATACCACTTTCCTTTGTTAAAACTATCTTCAGAACTTTCATACCTGACTCAACTGAGTCTTTAATTGGTTATCTTTTCCCCTTTAAGGATTTCTGACCATGGTCCAAGACCTGCATGTCCATGATAAGCAGCCCCATCTAATATTTTATCTCATCCAATTCCCCACGAAGTTATTCCATGGCTCTTTCGGATCATAATGCGGTGGGAAGTCGAGGTTTACAATTCAGAAGAGAAAATATCGGGCCTGGATAAGAATTCCCCATCCCGAGTATCTGTTATGAATGCATGAAGATGCATGAGGTAAATGAGTGGATGCAATGCCATGATAAATCATTTTAAAGGAACCCACATGCTTCGATTCTTTTGTAAGTAAGATATAGACAAACACAACATAATGTTTACAAGCACGACTCCTTGGAAATTGAAATAACACGTGTGTTAACTCTTTTCATGCATACATTTTTTACGCATTTCTTTTGTAAAAGGTAAATATGCTATGATTCAAGTGCGAAACCATAGGTTTAAAAGTTTAGCATAATAACTGTACAATCCTCTGGGTAACTGTTGTATAAATCTGCTGAGTAATCTGAACATCACAGGATTAAAGGTTCGACACCAATTTCAGAACACAGCGGAACCAAGTACCATGAATAACCATTGTATAATCTCGGGCAAAGTTGAATATACCAGGATCAAAGGTCCAGAACATAACCAAAGAGTCATCAATAGAACAATTTGGTCACCATCAAAACATAGTCACTATCTGTACCTGTAAAGATTGTTCTCGCCCTGCTCACAGGTGAAACTAGGTCAATGTAAGCAAAGGTAACTCAAAATCACAGGTTCGCTTGAGAGTACTATCATCATACACCTACGTGATAATGATATCACCTCATTAAAACCTCATCTGAGCGTGAACAACACAACCATCTAGGGTAATCTACACCCTCTATCCATCATGTTCCACTCTACTCCTAGTGTTCCTGTGGTTTTCACTTGGCCTGGGTATTGGGCCTTTTACCTCTTGTAACACCCACCCCATCATGAAAACAGATCTAGCACAACAGTATCACCAATATGGAAAGCAATAAAATCCATGCACAAACATATGCAAGTAGTGTATATAAAGCTGTAAATAACTGGAAATAAATAAACACCCAAAGAAGTAAATAAACAAGAGCTAGGATCGACTTCGGGATGGACCAGCAATAGGTCAATCTATCCCCAGTGAAGTCGCCAGCTAAAACAACCAACTGAAAATCATCAGACAATGAAGTCGCCATCGAACGTCTTTTATCCCACATGAAGAGAAAGGTAAACATCAAGAAAACCTTAGAAGGGAGAAGTCATGGTATTGCAACCGAGAGATCGGGTAAGGGAGTCTGTTACGTGAGGGGAAGGTATTAGCACCCCACACACTCGTAGTACTCTATGGTATCCACTCTTGTTGTTCTAATCAAAGAGTGTGTTTCAAATCTAAGCTTAAGAGCTAAAAGAAATGCAAAGATGGAATGCATGTAAAAGAAAAGAGAAAATAATGTAGGGAAAATAAAATTGTGCTCGTTCGGGCCCTACCCCGATGCCTATGTATCCCTTTTAAGGAATCAGAGCAGCCGTAGTTCAACTTATACGTTTTTGTTGGTTTGTATTTTTTAATGAACAATATTAATTTCGTCGTCTGCCGCAGCTCGACCTTTGGAGACTTACGGAATCAGAGCAGCCGCAGTTTAACTTATAAGTTTTTATTGGTTTGTATTTTTAATGAATAATATTAATTTCGCCTTCTGCCGCAGCTCGACCTTTGGAGACTTACGCGTTAACACATAAGTGAATTAACATGTTCTTTTGAAAAAGTTTGGGAAGAAGAGCCCGAAGGCGCAAAAAGCTTGCATTGGTTGATTGCTTTTACCTTGAAGGAGGATTTTAAAGTTATTAGATGTTTTATGCTTTTTTGAGAAAAAGAATTTTAGTTTTAATGCAAGGATGAAAAAGAAAGAAAAACATCTAAGGGAGACTATCTAGATCTATCCCTAATGTTATCATACAATGATTGACCCTAAGGTTGAGTTTTGAAGGGAAATCTCTACCCTATGTTGACATGCTTGGATAACAATCCTAACGTCTATCTCAAATCACCATCTATAGATGAATCAAGAAGTCCTAAAGGAGCATATCAAGGGTGTGTCACCTAAAATTATGTCTATCTTGAATCATCATCTATAGATAAATCAAGAGATCCTAAGGGAACATGCCGAGGATATATCATCTCAAAACATGCACACAAAGATGAAATCAAGCAAGCAAGCCAATTAGCTCAAGAGAACACACACAATATGTCATGAGAAACATATGCTAACTTAAGTCAAATGCCTAACCATGATATAGAAGATCAAGGTAGGTATAAAATCAGTAGGGGTGCTTTAGCCAAGGGGTCATATAAACCGAGGCAAACAAGCGGGGAGGGGATAGAAGAAAAGAGCATGGAGCATCAACGTCGACCAACGTGAGCTCAAGACAAAATGTAGGGGATTGATTACAGACCCCTTTTCCACTTGAGAACTCGATAACCATGATCTGTACAATTCCGAAGCATTGACGTGCAATGTGGGCTAAGGATGACATGAACTGGAATGTGCGGGGGTTAATTACAGACCCTCCCTGCTTGCCTCTTTTTGAGGACTTATTATCTGTAATATAATGCGGGCAAAAATGTAAACACGCGTGCAGAATACCTACTTCGAAGGTAGGATTTTAAACAAACACAAATAACATACAGAAAGCGGTGCCTGCTACAGGACTTTAAACATCGACTTCGAGCGCACGCTCTTTATTTCCTGCTTCCTACTTCACATGATTTCTAGAAAGCGATAAATGCCCCTACTATACATGATCTCTAGAAAACGGTAAATGCTGAAATAAGATAAACAAGGGAAAATACCAAACAAATATCAATCCGTAGCAAAGCGTATCAAAACAAAGAAACCCGACGATCTTCGCGAGAGCTTCACCAATCAAAGAAAAGAGTCAGAAATCAAATGCTCAGAATAAGAATCGAAGCATCATCGATGTGAAAATAAATCATAATCAAAATCTCAACCATATCCACACATCACACAGTAAACCTGCATAAGACTCAATCTCAACAAACAAAAGTGAATTACACATCTCCAGTAATCGGATAATCGAGATTTAATTCCTAAAAAAAAAATCTTACAAATTTTATATTTGATTTTATTATCTTTTATCATATGGAAAAAGTTCAAAAAAACAAATCTAAACGATTCATAAATTTTTTAAAAGAAACTACTAATAGAATGATCTCGGGGGGTGTAAGCAAAGATCAAGGGTACTGAAGTAAACTACTCAGAATTCCAGGCCCAAGCATTAAGGTCCAAGAAGAGCTCTTTTTGTATTACAAAAAAACATGCACATTGGACTAAGGGAGTGGGAAATCAGGATGGTGAATCAGGATGGGGCGATGAGCCCACCAGTGAGTAGTCCAAGCCTTTTTGTATTTCCTGCAGTACAAAAAAAAAGAGTATGCGGGCTTATATGGTGAGTACGGCCCGGTCCAGATTTCACAAAAAAAAAAACACCATGATCCATTTTATTTAATTCCTCTTTTTTTGTTATTACTTAATAGACAAAATAAGAAAAGTAAATTAAGGTTAAAATTGGGTGAGACGATTGAACTTCTTCGTCTTCTCTTATCAACCGCGCGACAAATCCTTCTCTCTTCTCAACTGTGAATGAAGGACAACTCCATCTCCTTCCTTTCTGCCGCCGTGTAATCTCCATCGTCGAAACTCCATGGCCTCGTTATCCACCGCGGATCCATCATCGTCTCACCGTTCACGATCTTCTCCCTCTGTTCAAATCTCCGTTCGCCGATTCCCCGGATCAACATCTTCGCGTGAATGCTTCTGTGACGAACTTCGATTCAACCGTCTCGACCTCTCTTCCCGCTTGTCTTCGATCGATTCGCCTTCCTCTGACTCTATCTCCGTCTCAGTTCGTCATCTTTGAAGCATCAACAACAACTTCGATTCATGATTTTGTTTCGATCTCGACGAAAGCGGATCAAAAATCAGATGCTCATACAAGATGATTGAAGGAGAATAAATACTTACACTTTAGAGATGCTCTGAAGGCACTTCAAGCGTGATTCAGGTATGCCTCTTTATCGCTTCTAACTTCTTCTACTACATCTTTGTTTTATCTTTTATTCTTCCTCTGTACGATATTCTGAACGTATTATTTGTTGAATGTTGCTTCGATGCGTCACAGTGTTGTTTCTGTTGCGTTTAGCGATGCTTAAAGCGTGCGTGGGTTGAAATGTAGATGATGATTAGTGTAGATGCTTAGAGATGACTGAAGAAGAAGATGAAGATGCGGTTATGGTGAATAATGCGCGAGAGTTGCAGAGGGAGAAGAGTGACTGGAGATTTGGTTAAGATGGAGGTTGGGAGAAGAAGAAGAGAGAGTTTTGGAGCGCGATCTTTCTGTAGAATCCAGAATCTCCCCGAATCTGGTGAGCTTTCCTCTCTTTTATAATTTTTTTAGTTTGTTAGGAAAAGTCAGTTACAAGGAAATGATTCCCTGCCCTAGGATTTGAGAAATCAGTTGCAAAAATGAATGATGAGACTCGAGATAGTTAGAGTTGTAAGAGAGTTAGTTATGAATGTTGATGAGCTGACAAATTTTCTGTTATGATAGTTAGTTGGATAATTCTGGCTTACTGCTATTTTCATTATTTCCTGATTTTTCTGTTTTTGCGGTGTCCTGAATTCTTTTTCTGATTTTTAATGCAGGGCTGGGTTTCGGTTGTAAAACTCTGGTTATTGAATCAGTTGGTGGTTTAGCTGAAGCTGATTTCCTGAACTGGAAATCATTTCCTGACTTTATGAACTCCTTCCTACTTTTTCTTCTTTGGTTATTTCCTTGTTCCTCTGAACTGATTCTCTCTTACTTCTTATTTTGGTCATCTTGTATTTTCTGGTTTTTTTCACCTTGAACAGGGCTACAGTTTGGATAACAGGTCACCGGTTTCTACACTGATAATGCATGGCAGCTTGGATATGATAACCGGTTTCAGTTTTCTGTTACTTTTCGTTTTCTTGATATACTGACACTGGATTTTTATATGGTGAATTTTCTGGTTATGCAGGTTTAATTGTGATGCGTATGTCTGGATATGTGCAAGGCTTTGTCGCGAACAAAAGGGCATATCATGGCATACCATCAAGATATAATTGAAAATGGAGCGACTTTGAAGCATGGAATAGAGTAGCATGAAGCTTAGGAGCAGGTTTCTAAATTGGACCGGTTTAATATTTCTGATTTCTGATTTTTCTTCCGGTTTGATAATCCACAGTTTCCCTGTTTGGCTGGTGGTAATTTGCTCCCTTTAATTTTTCTGCTGCGAATATGTGCAGGGCAGCTTGATGTTTTAAGTGATCTGTACGTTGACTTGGAGAACCCTGCTGGGACCATTGGCTCACTAAAAAACGTGTAAGCTCCGGTTGTTTGACTGTATATGAAGATGTTTGGATATTAGGATTTAGGCTTAGAACAAAAGTTTGTGTAATATTTTTTGTATGATGTTTAGACATGTCATGGTTTTGTAAATTGGATTTTTGGTTTGTAAATGATAAACACTGTAAACCTTGAATAATGAATGTTAAACTTGGAATTTGAACTTTTGTACTTGAAACTTGCAATTTTGTATTATGACCACTTGAGCGGTGAATGAAATTTGGACTTGTAATCTTGAAATTTGAAATAGTGATGAACTTTGAACTCGTGTCCGAACTTTGAAATTGCCTTGAATAATTCTCGAGCGACCTTGATATTTGCTCTAAATTTCAAATAACTTGTTTCTCAAGAAATTCACTTGAATCATTTTTTTAATCTTGCATGTTTGATAAATGAACTTTAATCCAATTTTTGAACAAAACATGAATTTAAATGATATTTCTCTTGAAATAGTCCAAGGCAAATTCCATGATCAAAATTAAAACGTCTTGAATGAACCTCAAAGCAAATGACTTATATCCTAAGCCATGAAGCGAGCCCAATCTTTAATTGATGACCATGAACTAAATTGTCCCTAATATCACCCTCTATCTTTTATGAGAGAATGGATCCAATACATTATATTGATCCTCATTAATCTTGTGTACCAAACAGTAAGAGTACCAACCCAACTTGATCTTAATGAATTCGCAATATCCTCCTTATATCACACCTTGTTATCCAATGAACCTCTATTGAAAATGTTTATGAACCCAACTATGATAGGATATAAACCCTAATCTTTCTTTTAATGAGAGAGATCCCCTTGAAGCCACATAAATCCTAATTCCACACCTTCACTAATAGAAGGAAAATCAGGAACATCAAGCTCTATTTGATATGCACTCTTCAAAAGAATGTGAAAACCCTGCTTGCACAATCACTGATCTTTTGAACCTTAAATGCTCTATTGAATGCAATGTATACTATGTTAATGACCTACTAGAATATATGTAGATGAATGCACAAGTCTAAGCCAGATAAAAGAAATTATGAGAGAAAATTTTGGGGTGCAACAGAGTGTTCTCATCTGGTTTAGTATCAACAGTTTCATCATTGGGGTTATCATCGATCTCTTTTTCTTAATTATCTTCCATCTGAAAAGATGTTCCAACGTCAAGCTCAACATCGTGCCCCCTTTCTATAGTTGAATCATCAACCACTACATTTATAGATTCCATAATTACCTTGGTTATGGAATTAAAGACTCTATAGGCTATGCTGTTAGTAGAGTACCCCAGAAATATTCCTTCATCACTCTTGGGATCCATTTTTCTTCTCTATTCACGATCAGCCAAAATATAACATATGCTACCAAACACATGGAATTATTTTACAGTAGGCTTCCTTCCTTTTCACAACTCATAGAGAGTAAAAGAGGTGTCAGTCCTTAAGGTATCCCTATTATGAATATAACAAGCAGTATTCATTTCAGCCCAAAAATGATATGACAGATGCTTAATATGAAGCATGACTCTAGCTGACTCTTGCATGGTCTTATTCTTGCGCTCCACAACTACATTTTGATGAGGGGTGATGGGAGAAGAGAATTCATGATTGATTCCTTCATAAGAGCATAATTCAACAAATCTGCTATTTTCAAACTCCTTCTCGTGATCACTTATGATCCTTACAATCCCATTTTCTGTCTCTCTTTGAAGTTTCTGACATAGATCCTTGAAGACTTCAAAGACATCTGATTTTTCTCTGATAAGTTTCACCCAAGTGAACCTTGAAAAATCATCAACAACAACATATGCATACCTCTTTTCACCAAAGCTTTCTACTTGCATATGTCCCATTAAATCCATATGAAGAATTTCTAAAACTTTTGAAGTAGTCAAATGTTAGATCTTCTGGTGTGACATCTTGGTTTGCTTTTCAACTTGACACTCACCAAAAATTCTTCCTTCCTTAATGTAATACGGTGAGAGAACTGACTTGGGTTTTATGTTTTATCGTAAATGTTGCAGATAGCAAGAGTCGCCACTTACTTTACTTTTATCCAATAAAGGAAAGGGTGAAAAGAACAGGAAAGACCTTTGAGAATTTTCTTGAGTTCGGGGGGGGGGGGGGGGGGGGTTAGGTTATGAAAAGGGAAGGTGTTACACCCTTTTCATCCGTATTTCTCTACGGTCTCTTAATTGCTAGCTCACTTTAAAAATGCTTTGTGTTTGTGTATGTTTGAAAATATTTTGAAAACGCCTAAGTGCGACAATTTTGTAATGATTCTCGTATTGTTGAGAATGTATACAAATGTTTGTTTTGAAAATATTTATTGGGAAAAAGTGTTGGTTTTGGAAAGTGTTTTGAAAATGCCAATGTAAGTCAGTTTGCTTTATAATAGCCCTTATATCAGTCCTCAAGAGTGTTTATAAAGTATTTTGAAAGTAGTTGTTTTTGAAAGTGTGAGGTGTGAAGATTGTTCTAGTTTGTGAGCAAGCGATTACGAGTGATCTACCTACTCAAAGATTCTTTGTTCTTTTCCTCCTCCTTTAGATAGCGATATACTACCATTACTTAGTAGAGAGCTCTATCATTAGATGTGAGGGACAGGCGTGGGTCATCATACAGTCATAAAAGGCAACTTGTAGGATGTTTTAGCAATTATCGTAAGGGACTAAGATCTTTTATCGAAGGCAACATCGAAGGGTCATCGAGGGACTACAATTTTTAACCGATGATCTTTGCCAAAGCATCCCACATTCGAGGGACATGACTGATTAAATCCGAGTCAACAAGTGAGGTTAACCCTAGAGGTGCATGTGTGTGAAGTGTTTTGATTTCAGTTATTTTGGTCTTGAAATTAGGGTTTTTCTAATGTTTGATTTTAGTCTTGCCATACAAAACCCCAATTAGTAACAGTAATAAGGAAATCGGTAAATTGCAGAATTTAAATGTTCTACGCTATTACAAGGCCTCAAGAATGGGAGTACAAGTTTATGAATGGGGAAGGAAAGCAATAAACCCTAATTAAACTATTACAATCCATAAGCAATCACATAACTATGAAAATACTGATGCGAAGAATAAACAAACGCGCGAAGATGGTGAAAAAGGGAAAATGTTTAAAACCCTAAAAAATTTCTAAGTATTAAAAAAATATTTTGTTGTTTCTTTGGTTAGAAAATATTTGAAATGTGAAATAAAAGGTTAGACTTAATTCTAATTTAAGTTACAAATTAAAACAAGACAAAGTGTAATTAAATAAAGTAATTTCATTCATGAAAATTAAACTAATTAATTAAATAAAAATCTAAAGAATTCTAAGTATTTAGAAACTATTTTCTTGGAGTTTCATTTAGAAAAGATATTTGAAGTATTACCTAATTCTAATTAAATAAAACCAAGGTGATTAAAATAAATTAATTTGTCAAAAATTAAATTAATTAATAAAAACCTAAATCTATTTTTCCCATCATTTTTATGATTTTTGTTGATCAAAATAAAATTAATTAAAAAAGAAAAGGTTAATTCAAATAAAAAAGAAATAAAGTGGGCCTGAACTGCAAAAGCAATTGGGGGGGGTGAGAAAATAACAAAAATGAAAAGCCCAAATAGAGGAGCCAAACGCTTGTTTGTAATCCAGTGTGGCTGGCCCTCTGAGGTTCATCATGGGGCACGCGTGTGGAGTGTTGGATCTGATTGCCTTATGATCTGATGGTGTTGATGTGAGGATGTATCACGCGCGTGCTTGCCTTGCTTGCACCTGATCAACAAAGAGAATATTGAAAAAATAAAATGCCAGAGGCAGGGATCGAACCCCTGCCCTGGCACACTAACGCTCTATACACACACACACACACACGCTTGCCACTGGGGTGACTGTTTCATCCAGTTATGAAACATCACCCATTAAATATAATATAAAACATGTTCATAGGTTGAACTTCATATTCTTCCTCGCGCCAGATATCAACATCACCATTTTTTATTCCTAAAAGCTTCGTTCCTCAACCATTTTGAAAAGTATAAACACCAAACTTTCTTGAATTTAAACAAGGAATCCAACTATGTAAATTATTTAAATTATAAATCAAAGATAAGTGAAAATTTTACTTAGTACCAAACTGAAAACCTAATATTTCAGAAACTTCAGCTCCAAAGTTATCATCACGTAGTCAATTAAAATGCAATTTAAGGACATGGACAACTTCAGAATGATGATATCTATATCTTTCCTTTAGAACGTATGCACAAAGGATGCTTAAATCAAGATTTCAAAGTTTGAGAAAACTTACCTCTTTAAGCAAAAATAAGAACACGTATGGATGCTTCCAGGTACAATGTAATGATTGATTAAGCTTTTCTGGACCTCCCTGAAACTATTCCAATTGATAGAATGCCTTATAGCTTGCCCAACTGTTTTGGCCAAGTCAAGCTGCAATGGTGGATTTTGAAAATGGTGGATGGTGATAGGGTGATTACAGAAGTGATTCAGGTGTTTGGATCACTTCTATATAATGTATAGATGATGTTTTAATGACGAGAAGGGAAAACACACGAGTAGATTGTGAGTTGGCTTCTTAAGGCTCAAAATATGCACTTATGGAGAATTTTTGGTGATTCTGAGCTTGAGAGGCTTTTAGGGTGTGTTCATTCGTGTTATGGCTTGCTAATGACCCATATATTTATAGACAAAGGGTTTGAGGAGCTGAAGTAACCAGGTTTGCAAGATAACA